GGGTGGGGTAGTTTTTGGGGTGATTTAGGTTGAGTTTGTTAGAAATCTCGGGGGTTAAGCTCCGATTCTCCTCCCCTGGCCTTCGAGGCGCAACCCAAAAAAACAGGTCCATTCATATCAACAGCCAAGGATCCTACGATCCCTACCTACACCAGGGGCCTACATAGTTACCGCTATGTTGAGGGTTCCTTATTATGAGTATGGTCAATTACACCCCTCATACCCCCCACTGCAGGGCAAGGTCTGGATGGGAAGCTTAACCTCCCTGAACCCTAAACCTCCAAACCCCTAAAGCCCAAAACCCCCAAACCCTAAACCCTCCAAACTCCTAAACCCTAAACCCCTACACCCCCAAACCCCTAAACCCCTAAACCGACCTATGGATCCTCGCCTGGCATGTCCGAGTTGTGAGAGCAACCGACCTCATTCATGAGATCCCCCTGCTGGCAGGGACCTCTTCTGCAGGTTCTTGCCCTCGGCCTCGAGCTGCATCGCCTTATGGTGGAAGTTGGGCAACAAGACGTTTTAGGGACAGACAGGCCTGACTTCAGAGTGTGTGTGTGTGTGTGTGTATGCAGCTTTTGGGGCCTTTCTCTAGCCCTGCCGGTCCCTAAACCCCTAAACCCTGGACCGTAGTTTCTTTGCTTCTAAGGCTTCCGGCTGCCGGAGTCTCCACGGGGCGAGGCCGTAGCCGCTGCACTGCAGCGGCTGTGGCCTAGCTGCAAGGAGCATTTAAGGGTTTAGGGTTAGGGGTTTAGGGTGAGATGTCGGGCTTTAGAGGCGACCGACTCCAGGCGAAGTAAGAAGCCTGTTGCAAAAAAGGGTGAGATCTCGGTGCTCCACGGGCTAGAGCTTATCTGGGGTTCGGGGTTTCGGGTTTAGGTCAAGTTGTCGATTGTGCGGGTCAGTCAGGAATGATTGGACATTCCTTGCCAGATTCAAGCAAGGATTGAGGGATATGCAGGGTTTAGGGTGCAATCGCTCTTAGGATTCCGGTGTGCGCGGATCACAGGGGCTGCGGCTTAGGTCGAGCTGAGTTTCTGTGCTCGACTCAAAAAAACTCCAACATCGTCCCCAGCTGCGCCCCCCTGTCCCCCCAAAACAGCACACAGGCTCTGAACCCTCAGTCACAGAATCACCGGGAGCCTGCTGTACTAAGGGCCGGAGGCTTTAGAGGAGGTCTGTATGGGGGAAAGGTTTAGGGAGTTGAACGATGGAAGCAATACAGGAGCGCGAAAGACGACCTCCACGACATTTAGTACATGCAGGTCGTCTAAGAATCCTACGTCGACGGTTTCATTCCGCTTCCGCTCCCGATTAGGGTCCGGATGCTTTTGAAGTGGGGTTTACATCTGGGTCTGGGTGCGTGTGTAGAGGAATTCCTGAGACTGTTGGTGAGTGCATGTTCGGTTGGCTGTCAATTTAGGGGTGGCAGGACTACAGAGCGCCGCTTATCTAAAGGATATAGTTTAGAACATTTCGAATCCAAAGGGGCCTGAATCATATGGCAGGCTCCCTTGCGGTACCCTAGTAGGCCCTATAGGATAGATACAGTTCTGTGTGACAGGACAGGATTACATTGAGCCCTAAGAGCGAAAGCCTTCCGATCAAGGCTCCTCATGCGAGCAGCTGTTCCACTAGACTGGCAGGCCGGGTGCTTGGCGTAGCGGTAGTAGTAACAGCCGTAGTGCCAGTATAGTGTCGTCGTCATCATCATCATCAAGAACTAGTCATAGTAGTATGTAGTAGGGATATGATGAATACCGTTACTATCCGTAATGGTAGCAATAGCAACTCAAGCTGAAGCTTTCGTTGACAAGTTCGGTGGGGTGTGGAGTCTGGCGCTTCAAGGTTGAAAGGTTGCAAGGTTTCGAGGGTTTTGTCTAAGATGCTTTGCGTGCGTGGCCTTCCGGTTAGGGCCTTTGTGCTGACGGTTGAACCATTAAAGCGTTTAAGGCGTGTAAGGTTACGGGTCCGCAAGTCTTAGGGTGTGTGTGGTTGCTTCCGGTATACACTCGTCAGTATTCAGTATTCATGGTTGAGGTAGTATGATTTGATTGGACAGCCGCCTCAAAGGCAACCTTGCAGTACACACGAAGGTAATTCCTAAACAAAATTTCCGACACGACAGCTCCCTTTGCCCTCGAAGGAACACGTTTTCGAGAAGGAGCCCTACTCTAACCATCAAACCTTTGTACTAAACTCCTACAAACCCGAAACCTCTGATAGAAGCCCTTTTAAAGTACCGTTTGTACTTCTTGAGGCCCTTGGCATGCCTGCACCGAAGCTCCGCGACGGGACAGCGCTCGTGGCCGCCGACGCGCCGGAGACCAGGGCGCCACGAAGTCACTAGCAGCTAGGGTTTTAGGGTCCAGGGTTTAGGGTTTAGGGTGTCCGGTTTCAAAAGCGTCCAGGGTGTAGGGCGTTTACCAGGCTTCGGAAAGGGTTCTATGACGGCTTCGGTTTGTTTCGTGTTTTATAGGGGTTTCGATGAGCGGCTAATCAATACGTTTGTTCAGGTAGCTGTTTATCGGTTAAGGGTGTAGGCGTTCGTGAAGAGGGTTTGTTGTAATACCAGATAAAAACTCTACAGCCCTTCTAAAACCCTAAACCCCCATCCTTGAAGAACCAGGCGGGAGGCTGGCTGAGCGGTTTTGGCCTGCAGCAGACAGCGGCGACGCTGAACGCCTTGGGTCTGGACACGCCGCTGTCAGGGGCTGACGGTTTAGGGTCGCGTGGGGCTTTAAGGTTTTCTTCGTTATGGGGCTAGTTCAGCCAGGCGTTGCAGGGCCGTTCTTGATCTAAGAGGCTATGGTTGTGAGGTAGTTTAGAACGAGACATGTTGTTGAGCTCTCACATGCGTAGCCTTTAACCGTAAGCCCTAAGCCCTAAACCCCGAAGCCTCCGAGCGCAGAGCAGCCTTAAGCCATGCATCCGAAGATCCTAACATACACTGACATACCATATTTAGAATCCTATAAGGTAATCCCAAAAAGAAACTACTATGGGGCCTATGGGTACGCCCTGAAATAACCTTGAACCCCGAAGCCTGATCCCCTTAAGGCTGAACCATCAGCCCCAAACCTGAAACTGCCTGGAGCCAAACTAAACTCTAGATTCGAAGCCCGAAACCCTAAAGCCCTGGCCCTAAACTCTACAAACCCTACCTAGAGAGCAACCAACCCTATCAAGCCCTCAGCCAGGGGAACAGAAGGCGGTTCAGGATGTAGGGTCTAGCTTTGAATACGCTTTCATGGGGGGTTTAGAGACCTATGTCCGAAATCCTAACTCCGATGCCGGGGCGTCTCTCCGAGCAGCGAATGCTAGAGGGTCCTTTTTAAAAGGGTGCCGTACTGTATGGGGGACCTAGACAGGGACACTAATTTAGAGAACTACCCATATAACATGGCGTAGTCCCAGAAGCCTAAGGCCCACAACCTAAACCCATCATTGATGGCAGGACTCCTCCACGTCGACACCCAAGCACCTTCTGGCTCTCACTCCGCTAGGCCCGGAAGCGTGCTAGGTTTCGTGGGCTTGCCCATTTTAGGGTGTTTACTGTAGGGTCTGAAGGATCCGATACGTGCAGCCGCAGGTTTTTATGCGTATGAGCTTGTCTCAATGAGCACATTCCGTAGGTTCCGGTAGTACAAAGATTGTATATCGCAGCTTTACAATAGTTTATGGGGGCCTGGAAGCCTACTTAGCCTTGGATACTGTCGTGCACCTGAGCAGCTCGGAATCTTGTACACGATGACCGCCCAGTCTCACGGGGGTCCCCATTTCAAAGCTGCTGAGTGCTTAGGTTTTTGGGTTTGGGGTCTGTATTGACCTGCAGATGCGTACAGCAAATGCTTCGACCCGTCAGCTTAAACGCGATATTACATTGCTGCTGTTTTATCTTAACCGTCCTAACCCTATCACAAGCGCTATATAAACCCTAAACCCTAAACTCCTAAGCCCTAAGCCGGGGCACCTCAGGGCGCGTGCTCTCGCGACTGCCGTTGGATGTTGGCATTGGGAAGATGCTGCTTTTGTCCCTGGTCTTCCAGGCCGCATCTGGGTGTGGAGGGTAAAGGTTACAGTTTAGGGGTTCAGGGTTTAGGGTTTTTACAGCTTTGGGAGTTATGAACGCTAGGGTCCAGGCGGCTAACGAGTGCTCCCTCAGATGAGAGGGACGGAGAGCCCAGATCATCCTAGATCGTTCTCTTCAGACTGAGCTAGACAATGATAGTGAGTGCCGTCAGGGCCGATATCGTGGAATCGTCATTCGTCGTCGTCGTAGCAGCAGCGCCGGCAGCAGCAACAGCAGCAGCCGCAGCAGCGGCGACACCATTGGCAAGAGTCATCATACTTTCCAGACATTGCTGCTTATCAAGGGCGGCGTTCAGGTGCCGTTGTAGTCGCAATGGTCTCCGGCACAGCAGATGAACCCGCTAATCAGGCAGGGCTCCGTGGACCACAGCCTAGCCATGATGGGTAAATGTCAGACCATAAGAAATGGATTCCTTACATTCCAAGTCTTGCGGCCAAGGAAGCGCCAAACCCAAAGTCCGAGGAGAGTAAACTGAGTAAACTTTCAGCTAATCTCCGCTGTGGGGTTGCCTACACGCCGATCCCTTAAGAACCCAAAACCTACTTTTTTGTAGGGTCCCTATAAATCCCATATTAGGGTTTATAAGAACCTACAAAAAAGTGGGTTTGGGGGTTCTTAAGGGAGCCTGAAGAAGAGCCCGAGCAGCCAACACCAGGTGCAGAGCAGTGCAGTCGTTTTGGCCTCCGCCGTGGGTCTGCACTCCCCCAGACTGCAGCCACTCGCAAGCTGAACACGGGCTTCGCGCTTAAACCCTGAACCCTAAATCCCTACGCCGTGAACCCCTACACCCCTAAACTCCTTTTTCCGCCGCCCCCTCCGAAGACCAAGTCTGCATTTGTCGACCTCTGGTCTAGGCCTTCGGTTCAGGAGTTCGTTAGCGCTTTAGGGTTTACTTGTGAATGAGGTCGCTTTAGCTGGTCACTGGGGCTTCTTCGTGGCAGACATGTTGTCAGTACTATGGCAACTTAACGTCGGCTCCTTGACAAGAACCCTGTATAGGGGACTTCGGGAAGGTTCAGCCGGGCCTACCGACACAATAGGTGATCTTTGTATAAGAACACCCCCAACAACGGTACCCCCTAAAAACTCCAGATTGTGCTTCAGTGGGAAAGTTGGCTCAAAGACCTCCTGAAGCTGCCCCCTACAAGGCCCCCGACTTCTTGAGTGAACTGTACCAGGGCTATATACCGGTCAGTCGACGGGTTTGGATCTTACAATGTAGATCAGGCGGCTTATCATTTGGGTCCCAATGTTATTCAGGCTTTTAGAAGGGGAGGTCATACACCAGGCGTGCACAATCGGTTCTCCTGCCCCAAGGAAGCATGGAGAGAGAGGAGGTGGTCGGTGCAAGCAGTGCTGGCATGTCTTAGGGTCAGCTGGATGGTTGCGGGTTTAGCTCCCTGACTTCAGGGCTTACGGTTCTTTGTTGGCAGAAGGGGTAGTTGGAGAAGGCCTCTTTGCATGTCCATGCGTGCGTGCTTGGGGCTGCAGACATGCCTGTTCATGAGGCAGGACTTGAAGCAGCGCTCGGTGAGCGTACATATACCAGGTCTCTTTACAAAGCGTGTGTGTCATTGTGGCCACACCAGTAGCAAGGAAACTTTGCACCACACACAACCATATACGAAACATAGACGTTTACATGTACATATGTATATAAATACATGTACGTTATGTATATATATATATATATTGTGCACACATATGTGTGTTTTATCCGTGTTGATGATATGTGATACTATGTATATATATATATACATATATATATATATACATATATATATATACATATATATATATATACATATACACCCATACATGCATGCATACATACATACTTATGTGCAGACTGACGGACAGACAGACAGACGCGCACAATGTGTGTATATATATATATATAGATATAGAGAGATAGTTGGCGTATCTCGATTCATTTACCACTTATCCATTGTCATATGCCATATATAACACACACATACATGTCTATCATTTGCCGACACATGCACAGAGAGGATGATTTGGTGCATGCATGTGTATGCATGTCGAGTGCTAAATGTAGGCACCTGTCTACATGTGTACATGCGCACGTAAATGTATCTCGCATCCGTTGACGCCTCAAAACACAACCTTTGCATTCCGTGCGTAAACGCACGCACACACACAGAAGTGCAAGTTCCGGACCTTGTAGCCCCGAAGCACAAAGGTTTGACCACAAGAGGGGCGACCTTTTCACCACGCCGCTGCGAGCTAATAGCGGGGTGTTCGGGCTAAGGCGAATTCGGCTGCAGCCCTTCGGATTTTTGGCTTTGGGATTGGGGCTGATTAGGGTTCAGGGAGTTCTTCCCAGCAGATCGGTAGAGTCTGGGTTCAGAAAAGGGTTCTTGCTTTACCGGAATGGTTCACGCGTTACATGTTTGCGCATGTTTGCACCAAATTTTGACTTGGGTTCCATACCCCTGAGGCTCCGCGTCTATCAGACTTGGCTCCACGAGCGCTCCCGACGCGAGGGCGGCAGCGATTCGCGCTCCAGGCTCGCGTGATTCGGAATGGCGGAGGGTAGACCCAAGGAACCCATGCCCTCTCTGTTTAAAGGGGAAGCATATCGGGATGGTGCATGCATGTGCATGGGGTTCATGTTGTACTTTTTACCCCGAGGGTTGTTGACTTTTGTGCCTGGCGTGGTGTATTTAGTTGTGGATCGGGGCCTTAGAATTGGTCTTTGCAGCCACGAAGCTCCTCATGAAGACTTCGGCCCTTACATGCATCGTGCGTTCATATTTAGTTTCAGGTTGAGTAGAGGGTAGCTTGGGTGTCTAGGTAGAAGCAGGCCCTACACCTTCCCTTTTGAATGCTGCAAGCCTTAGGCGCCCATGTAGCTACAGGGTGCACAAACTTTCTGGCACCACTACAGGAACCCTTAATGCAACCCCTTAAAGGAACCTAAACCCTAAACCCTAAATCCTAAACCCATGCCTAGGAGCTGCTGGGTTTAGGGCTTAGGGTTTAGGATTTTTTCCGGAAAAATCTTAAACCCAAAATCCAAAATCCTAAACCCTAAACCCTAAACCCCTAAACCCTAAACCCTGAACCCAGGGGCTCCTAGGGATGAGTGAGAGGAAGTGGTGCCGCGAGCATGGCCTTGACGAGCGGCTTCTCTTCGAGCTGCCACCTGCTTACGCTGGTGGTGGCGGGCTGTGGGCTTAGGGTTCAGGGCTTTAGGGTTTAGGGCTTTAGGGTTTAGGGTTTAGGGGTTTAGGGTTTAGGGGTTTAGGGCTTTGGGTTTAGGATGTTTGGCGCCAGTTTCGTGCTTGTAGGGTTTGAGTTTCCATCGAACGCCAGGAGAGGCCCGGACACCAGAAAGGCTGAGGCTGCATAGTTGCTGTCATCTGCATCGCATTATTCAATCTGTCTGCCGTTGCTGCAGCTGCTCTATGCCTCTAGTGCCCTCCGAAATCTTAGAACAAGGCCCCCGGCACCTTGACCGTTAACCCCAAAACTGCTGGAACGATGATACCTTCTTCCTGATCGAAGCCATCGGCCCCAGGCTCTGTTTGCTCTTGTGGCAAATCTGATTTTAGGCTTTAGGGCTTTAGTAGGGTTTGGATTAGAGCTTTAAGGCTTAGGGCTTTAGGGATTTAGGGATTCGGGCTTTAGGGGTTTGAGGTTGGGGGATTAGGGTTAAGGGTGTCTCAGGGTCTAGACCCAAGGAACAAGATGAATGTCCAGCTCACGGAGATTCTTCGTGATGGCGTCGGACGAGTGGAAGGCGGCTTTGCTCATCCTGCAGTTTGAAACCTAAAGTCGTTCAGCCCCAAGAGTGTTTGGGGAAATTTTATAGTAGGGGCTTTTGTTTAAGTATCGGCACGTTGTCAGCAGGGCATGAAAGAGGGTTGAAATGCTTGAGCGCCGGGGCCCAAGGAAGGAATTTATTGTCAAGAGCTTCGTACGCAACGGCGAAAGTGACATTCTCCAGAGAGGCTATAGATCCCACGAAACTCAGCAGCCACGTAGACATAACATGTTGAAGCCCAGAGGCACCCTTAAGGGGCATTTGCTGCAACCGTTTTGCTGCCACTGTAAGAGTCGTGGACTTAGGAAGTAGCTGAGAACTAGAGTCATCATTGGGTTCAGTCCAACTAGGATGAAAGACTTAATCAAGTAAAGCCACCTCTCGAGTCGTCACCTACTTGCTCGGAGCACTGATATGCCAGGTATAGAGACCCAGATAGCCGATAGCCGAACACGCCTTGGCCAATGAATATACCTTTTATCAGAGTAAGAGTTGAGAAACCTTCCATCCTCCGCGATGAGTCAGCACATACCGTGTTACTTTTGGAGCTGCAGCAGCTTTGAACTACCAGAACCCCAAACCTGAAGCCCTAAACCCCAATTCCACATACAACCCAGCCTCAGGTGGGGGCCGAAAGCTGGGGTCTCTTCTACGGAAGAAGCGGATCAGCGCGCTCGAGGTTAGGGCTGGGATTGTAAGCGTGGTTCCGGGTTTTGTTTAGGGTCTTTAGGGTTTGGGTCTGGGTTGAGGGCTCAGGGTTTAGGATCTTAACTGGTTTCGCTTGTCAACGCGATTGGGCTTCTCGAATATAACTCAACTTGAAATCATGTGAGCTTCCACTTACATAAGTGTGACGCTTGCACTGGCTATTGCAAAGCTAGTAGTCTTGCTTCTGTTAGTAATTCGATAAGCCATGTGTGCCTGAGGAGCGCATGGTCCAAGACTCCCAGGGCACAAAGCTGCTTCCTGACTGATGAGAGCTGGCTTAGGCAAGGGTTTTGGGTTCCAGGGGGCTTTACATTTTGCAAAACAACTTGGGGCTTCATTGGGGCAAAAGGAACCCATTGCTACCTGAGGATGCGGTTCACGGCTGCACAGGTTCTATCCACAGGCTTAGGACTGGAGTTTCTGTGAGGATATGAGAGGACGTCGTCAAGGTCTACGGGTTTGTCAAGCATTAGAGATTTTCAACTTCCAGGACCGAGGTTTGCGAGTGAAGCATTGTGGAATTGACGAGGAAGGGAGGCTTTCTAGGGGACGTATGCTGCCTCTATGGGTTGAAACTCTACTACGAACTTCCGGGGTTGCCGCTTAAGGCGGTTTACAGTGGTGGCGCTGTGGACCCTGAAAGGCATCCCGGCCTTTGCAAACAAAAACATATGGGAGCTTCACAGCTTTATCTGAGGCCCGCCGCAGATCGCGAAGCTCTGAAAGCCGAGCTCGAGGTCCTGCTAACCACATGTTTTTAACATTGCAGTACCACCACGACGACGACTACTAGTACTGCTCCTACTGCTGCTACTGCTACCGCGACCATCAATACTACTGCTACGAGTAGTACGAGTAGTAGCAGTAGTAGTAGTACTAGTAGTAGTAGTAGTAGTAGTAGTAGTAGTAGTAGTAGTAGTACTAGTAGTAGTACTGGTGCTGCTGCTGCTACTACTACTACTACTACTACTACTACCACTACCACTACTTCGTTATCATTATGGCCACCATCATCATCGTAAACTGATAACCCGAGCAGTAGTAATAGTAATAGTACATACACTGATAATTTCTGGTTAGTTATCCATCATTTTATGTGTTGTTGTTAGTGCTGTTGTCATTGAGAGACTTAAATGTTTGGTTGATTCTGTTATTTGCTGACGTTGTTGAATTCCTATGTTCTGGCGAACAGGTTACAGATGTGATGTTCTATGTTGGGGATTCCTGTTTCTATGTCTATATCTACTCCTATATCTACATCACCTACACATATACGTATACGTATGCATGCAGACATACACGTTGTAGACACACACACACAAACACACACGCATTCACACATAGTTTTTGGCTTTGAGGTTATTTGTTCATTGGTGGACTTAGTGGTGCTGAATTTGTTGCTCGGGTAAAGGATGTCTTCCAACTGCTACATTACAGGACATCCCAACAGAGCGCAGCCCCACAGACTCATAGTTATGATCCCAAAAGTTTACTGCCTTGCGCTTTAATTGAACAGGATATCGGCTCGCTCTAGCTGGATTTGATTTTGAATTTGGGGTTTTGCGTGGGTCTGGTTTCGAGCTTATCTCCGGGTTTAGCTTGGTGTTCTTATAGGGCATGTCTTGAACTCTTGGTGCATCGTGTGCGCGGGAAGAAGGAATCCGAGGCTTGCTCACCAGCTGTTCATAGCACAGGGAATCCGAAATTATAAACCCCACACCCTAAACCCTAAACCATAAACCCTGACCTAACCTCCTAGCCCCAAATCCTCAGCCCCTGCCTGCAACGGGGCAAGCGCAAGATGTCCGAGAGACACATGGAACAGGAGAGAGCAAAGGAGACGTGGCGAGAAACAGAGAAGCGAGAGAGAAATCCCAAGAGTAGGTTGACTCCGAACATCGGAACTCACAACGGGCATGTTGTTGTAGACCCCTGATCAGTAAGTCCCTTGCCTTAAGGGTGCTTAGCAGGGGCGAAAACATTAAGATCCCAATATCTTAAGAATCATGAATGAGAAGCGAGGCCCTACTTTTGATATATAATTTAATAGTAGCCGCTTAGTAACCCCTACCGTCGGGGAAACCCTAAACCCTATACCCTAAACCCTAAGCCGACAGAGAGGAGCTGAAGATGAAGGAGAGCACTCGAGAGCAGCGGCGCCTCACCTTCGAAGATGGAGAAGGCAGGTGGTTTGGGTTTATAGGGTTTATAGTGATCCTAAACCCCTAAACCCTCAGCCGCACAAAAGAAGGGAAAGAAGAACTGGTTTGATGTTTTTGGGGGGTTGATGAGGGCCTGAGTCTGAGGATTCGGATCTCGATGGTTTCTGGATTCGAGGCTTACCATTGCGATCTTGTGTCGTGTTCTGTAGCTTGCTGCTTCGTGCTGCAAAGTACAGTATGATAATTAATCTGATTCGGATTTTTCCTAAACATGGCTGTTCTCAGACTTTTGTTTGCTTGCGATGACGGGCGAGGCCTGAATGCATTGCCTGAAATGGCGTGCTTGATTACACGCTCTGTTTGGGACCGGCTCAGTTGACTAAGTCATTGCAGATTGTACAACTCGCTCCGCTCAAAAAATGCGCGGGCGGGCCTGCAGAAAGAAAGGGAGAGAAGCAGAGGAAGACCAACAGTACCTATTTGTAAAGTTTGGCAGCCCTAAACCGCAAGCCCTAAACAGGGTCTCGAGACCCTGAGCTCTTCAGCCCGACGAACCCGAATCATCACATCCTGTCATGCGAGCTCCAGGATCTGGAATCTCGTATGTTAGCGTCACCATGAGGGATGCCGGCACAAAGATTACTATGCTACGGGTATGTCGCACTGGGAGGGGGTCCGCCACTAATTCTAGTGCCACGAGAAGTTCAGCAGTTCTAGAATTGACAGTTCTAGAATTGAAGGATAATTACGGTAGTTGTGGTTGCGGGATTCACGGCTGCCAGTTTTTCCGCAAACGTAACCGTTCTGTCAGAGCCTGCATCAGCATCTGGTATGATGGGCAGCACATGCGCCGTTGTAGACCTCCAACCTCATGTTATTCCCGTGCACACATATCAATAACCAGGCATTCTGAAGAAAGTCTCCTCAGTCGCCGGCGTAGCTGCCAAAGTTCTGCGAGGCGTCCTGGCAGAAGACGAGCGGGGCCTCGGCTATGCCATGAACGATCGCGACTTCTTTGGCAGCGACGACGACGTGGCCAACGCCAGTGGAGGCTCCTTTCCTCCCTGGACAAAGCCGTGTTAGGGCCACCAATCCCAAACCGCAAACCTCAATCCTGAACCGTGAAACTGCGAGCACGGCTCCAATTCCGAATCCCGGAAGGCGTGCATGGGCTGGTGCGATGATGAAAGGAGGGTGAAGAACTGTAGGTGGGGTGGGACTGCAGGAAGAGGTCACTCTCGCTGCAGCCTGATCTTCCGGGTTTTGCATGTAAGGTTTAGGATAAGACTTGTCCAGGTTTCAGGCTCATGGGGCTACGACCTCACTACCAGACGTTGCACCGTAGTTATCAAGGCCCTTGTTCCGAATGCGTCGAGGGACTTGTGAATTGAAGCAAGTGTGAGCCCATGTTCCCGTATCTATTGACACGAGATAAGATCTGCAAGCAGTTTTCCATGCGGCTCTCGCATGCGACACCTGCTATCAGCCATCCAAAACCAAGCCAAACCCTGAATCGATGTGTTTTATGTTGCAGTGCATCCGAGCTGCACCTGAGGCGATGTAAGGCTTTGCCTCAGGTCCTACAGGAGCAATTGATTAAGCCAGCATAATGTAGGGGCCTAAATAAGTACCTATACTATTTTGGGTTCCGTATTACGATTATCGTATAATGCACCCGAAAACCCGATCCAAAAAGCCAGATTTAAAGCCCCTAAGCCTTAAATCAGACTGAGTCGTCTCTAGAGATTCGGATTGAGGGTTTCATGCAGACCCCTAATCAAGAACCCCCGCAGCCCAAGGGTGGTTATCAGACCCTTAAAGGAAGCGATGATGTGGATCGTGACATTCGTGATGGTGGTGCTGGCGGTAAGATAGTGACAACGCGAAAGCGGGTGACAGTGATGGTGATGGTGCTGGTGCTGATGACGATGATGGTGACGAAATCGGTTTTTCCTCAGTGTTGGCATGGTTGTCATTTCTTGCTTCTTCCACTTGTTGTTGCCAACATCACCCCTTCTCTTTTGCGCTTAGGCAACGTCTTTAAAGCCTAACGCCACCCCTTTGCTCTCGAAGCGAACCCAAGCGACATGAAGGCGAGGGCAACTTCAATCGCGAGCTGAATCGCCGGCCCCGCAAGCGGCAGAAGACTGGAAAGTCCCAGGGCTCGAAGGCGGCCTCCCGATTCTTCGCGTTTAGGGTTTGGGGTGTTGTTAGGGTTTTGGCTTCAAGGTTTGTCGGGGTTTAGAGCTCAAGGTTTGTTCGGGTGTTAGGGGCATTTTAGGTTTCAGAGGGGTTTCGAGGGTTCGTCTCTGCTTGCGCGCGCGTTCTGGGCGGAGGAAGCTCCCGGGCGACGAGGCAAGCCCGGATTTAGGGCCTGCGGCACAAGGTTTAGGATCTTGCAGGACTGGGCCCAGAGACTTCTAAAGGCCTTTCTCTTATGCATCAGGCTATTTGTCTTCAATCCGGTTTCCAACTTTTTGGGGCTTAATATATGCTGGATTGTACTATACGACCTTGGCATGAGGACTCTTGGCTTCGATAGGGTCGCAGGATGTCTGGGCGGCTTCTAGAGGAGGTTCCCGCCAGCGTCGAGTGATCAAGGCTCATAGAGTTCAGGGTTTAGGATTTAGGGTTCTCAGCACTGGACTGGGACTCAGCTTGGAGTAGAGGGTTTGAAGCTGCCTAAGCCTTACAGTGTTGTTTGAAATCGTCGTATCAGCGACAAGATTCAAAGCACCGGCTGGTGGTAACTATGCATACGGATGAATGGGATCCTTAATGTAAGGTCCCTATATTCGGGTCCACATGTCGGTCCGGCCGCATTCCTTGAATATCCCGTTAAGATTGACAGAAACACAGCCAACACCTAGAGCCCCAGCAGGTGCGCCTGCCCCAGAACGACAGCCTCGCCGAGAAGATGCGTCGTAGGAACATCGAGTTCGAGCTCAGGCATCACATCGCCGGGTTTAGGATTTAGGGACTTGGTGCGTGGTGCGTGGGTGCAAGGCTCTCGGGCAGGGCCCAGTGGGTTTTTAGCATGCAAAGTTGTGTAACGGTTTAGGGGGGCAAGAGGGTCTTCATAGTCGCCTCTTCTCCCCAAGTGGACAGCAGAGGTTGCTTGACAAGATACCTGCTAGGGGTCCTTCTCGGAGAGATTTCTTGGCACATTCGAGAGCTTCGAACAGAACCTCCGCCTGTTCAATGATTTAAATTAACGCAGCAGTCTTGTACCGCGTGGCCTTTGGCCCGCCCAAACCCTTAACCCTAAACCCGGAGCCTAGACATGTTCGAGAGTGAGTGCTGAAACCCGGAATCCCAAAGCCTTGTGTTGAATCCTTCGAGCCGCAATGGCAGCGGGTTGGAAATACTAGTCAACGTGATGTTGTTGCATCGGTTTGGGCACCACTCCATTTTGGATTATATATATATATATACACACATACACATGTGTATGTATATATATATATATATATGTAGTATAACATTATATATATATATATACATATATATATATAGATACATACATACATACATACATACATACATATCTTGGCCCCAACTTAGGCCTTCAAGCGAGGAAGCCGGACAATTTGGGAGCCGGGGGCTTCTAGAGCCCAGCATGGGGCTGAAAAGATTTGTAAAGCTTTAGGGTGCAGGGTTTAGGGTTTGGGGTTTAGGGTTTAGGGTTGGGGTTTAGGGTTTTAGGGTTTAGGGTTTAGGGTTCAGGGTTTAGGGTTTGTCACAGAACTGTCCATGACCCCCACGTGGTGGCCCCTAGGAATGGCTATCTTCTCAATTGCTATCGTGCTTGCTGCATCGCACGCTTCCGAGGACAATAGGACTTTAAAAGCACAAATGAAAGCTAATAGCCTTCACATGCCATCGAATGCTCTCGAGACCTGTGCTTACTAAAAGGGGCTTTTAGTTCCTAGTTTGCTCTCGAATACTCTCGGCTTGTATCTCTGACTGGATGTGGGTGCCCGGAACGGAAGACGCTCAGCTATCAGTCTTGCAGTTGGGGCTCGTGAAGGTCGCCATCTGGATCTTCTTTTCTCTCTAGGCACACTGATTTTGCAGGCATTCCAGGGCCCCAGAGCCCTCGCTCAAATGCTCTCGAATGCTCTCGAATACTCTCGAATGCTTTCGAATGCTCTCGGTAGGCCCCTTTTGGCTTTCAATGCTTTCGACTGGTCCCAGTGTAGAATAGAGCCTGTGCGTGATTGAATATATTCTACAAAAAAAGACCCTGCACCCTGCCTTGCGGATTGGTGGCTTGTAATCCTGTTTCCACACCCACACTAGTGGCTTACTGCAGTATATGACCCCGAGATTGATCGGTTCAAATGCTCTTTAAAGTCTTTGGGCACTGGGGGGGGCCACCAGGCCGGGGTCAAGCCAGAGTTTATGAGTTTGGGGTTTAGGGTTTAGGGTTTAGGGTTTAGGGTTTAGGGACTCGCAAAAGGGTTTAGGGACTCGAAAATCGTTTAACACCAGCACCCTACAGCCCTAGACACCGAAACCCCGGAAGCCACGCTGAAGCCCAAGCCCGAAAACGTTGAAGCTTTACTAAGCAAACCCGGAGGCCTGACTAAATCCAACAAAACCCTGTGCAACATTCGAACAGCGCTACCCAAACCTACACTACCCTAAAGCCCAACCCCTTATGTAAGGCCTTTGCAATATCAGTCAGAGCCTTGTGAACCCCGAATTCAGCCGAAGTTCCTATAGTCTCTATTGTAGTTCCTTTTTGGTGTTACCTTGGTTAAACCAAAAAAAGGAACTACATTGGAGACTATAGGTAAGCCTTAAACCCCTAAGCCCCTAAGCCCCGAAACCCTTAAACCAAACCCTAATCCCTAAACTCACTTAAACCAAACCCTAAACCCTAAACCCACTTAAACCCCGAATCGTGCTAGGTACGGCAGCCACCGGCACACCACGAAGGCGCTCGAGTCGCTAAGCCGAGAGCAGGAGGCGATTCTTAGACTTTCGGGCCTGCAGGATTTGGGAGGGGGGCTAGGGGTTTGGGGGAGGGTTTCTATAGTTTTTTGAGGGTTTAGGGTTCAGGGTTGTTCGCCTTGGAAGCGTTTCTCGGGGTTTCAAGAGGGTTTTTTCGAGGAGATGCTTGAGGGGCCTCACGGTGTACAGGTGCTCTACGAGCTTTGTAGGGGTCGTGCAGGCTTCTAGCTGGATTCAATAGAGTTCAATAGAGCTTGGGTTGAGCGCTTGGTTCTGTTCTGGTTTCTAGGCGCCCAAGTTGTTGAGGCTGTAGAATCAAGGTTCTGCACCTGCGGAAACGTTGTAAAACTTGTATAGCTGCTCTCTCCCATCGGATCGAGGCTTCTTTGATGTAGCTTATGGACCGAAATCCTTTTCGCGGCTTAAACCAGTAGCTGCATGTCAGCAAGATCCACCTATGATTTCGGGGTTCAAGTAATCGCAAACCCACGGGCTCGGTTCTCCGTCTCGCAAACACTGAGATCTAAACTCAAGGCTGCGGTTCCCTCTGAAGTCTAAGCCGTGCTTCCTAAACCGTAAAGCCGTAAACTCTTAACCTTGTGCCCTACATTCCCTGAGCCCTAAACCCTAACCCCTAAACCCTTACCTTAGCCCTGTATCCGGAAGCCCTGACAGGAGCTCCTACAGCTGGTGGTCGCGTGCGCGCTCTACCCGAATATAGCACTGCCTGGGGAGAACAACAGCGAGAGGCCTGGTGACATGGGCTTAAGCTAGCATCGTACTTGTAACAGAAGGGCCTGAATAACTTTTGAAGACACAGGACCTCCCATAGACCTCCTCATGGACCCCAGGACCCTCTTCTATGTAGTCGATGACGTGCTATTTGGACCCTCTGACGTACACAGCGTCCCCGAGAGGTTGATGCTAGTTCCGTACGTGGTTCGTGCGCCCCCAAACTGCCCTCTTCTCAGCTCAAAAGCCTGTCTTTTATGACGGGTAGCCTAAACCCGAAGCCCTAAACGGTTAAAGGAGTAGGAGTTGCAGCTTTAGTTGGGGAATTACTGTACGGCCCAGGCCTGGGGACTACAAACACCCCAAAAAAAGTAGGACCAAAAGGGGTCGGGTCGGACATTCCGCCGTATGGGAGTTTCCGAAAATTAGGGTACCCTATTTTGGGATCCTTATAATAAGGATCATACTATTTATATTTAGGGTACTATATTTAGGTCCCCTATTTTCGGAAACCCCCATATCGGTTTAGGTGTGCGGCCGAGTGCGTCTTCCACACGCAGCAGGTGCCCTTTGTCCCCTGGCGAGTGGGGACGGCATTTAGGCATTTGGTATTCGGTACCTCCGAGCCTCTGATCATCTTGTGATATAGTTGTAGTTATATATATATATATATATCTCTACATGTTTGCTCCTTATGATGTGTCAAAAGACTTTCTTGCACCGGGCAGAACCGAGAGACAAAAGGTGCGTGCTTGTCCTTGCTTTGCATCACTATCACTCCATCCCACTCAGTCGTGCTTTAACTGCTTGAGCAAGCTACTGCGGACGATTGTGCTGGTGATGCCTGATCGCTAAATCCATATCCAGAACCCCAACTAAGAGTCCAAAGGACTCAATGATTCGGAACTTGGGTTTAGGATTGCAGTTTTGCAGCTCGGCTGTTGAGCGGAGTACTGATCAAATCGGGTAGTGGTTACTCTTTAGCGGTTAGCTCAGATTTCCGTAAGCCTAACAAGTTAGATGCCTTCATTTTTTGGTGAGCCCAGGCCCCGAACCCGGAATCCTGAACCCTGAACCCTAATCCCTAAACCCTAAAACCCTAAATCCTAAACCCTAAAGCCCTAAACCCTAAACCCCCGACCCCGAGTCCGAATTCAAGGTCAACCTGCACCCCAGCAGCGTGATTTACCCTCAGCTGCCCACGGCGCTGTCGAGGGAGGAGGTGTCAGATATGGAGGTTCTAGGACTCTAGGAATTGGGAGGAGTTTGGGGGTGTAGGGTTGATTTTGCAGGATGGGTTCTAGAGATGGTGAGATTTTGGTAGTACTGTTGACTCGAGCAGTAAAGCTGGCTTTGACTTTTGTGGCTAGCATGTGTACCAAGCCGTTTCTGCTGTTAGTAAACTTATCATGTCCATTTTAGCCACTGCTGTTACTGATTTTCGTCGCAGGTTGAATCTCAGATGTCCCGACTACCATATGCCATGAACACCACACCACCGACACCCTAGAAGCCCGAGTTCAACTGTACGTTTGTTCTGCTCCGGATCTGACACTAGGGTGCTGTGGAGATGCTTCTCTGGTTGAGTGCCGTTTGTGGGCTTCGACACTGAAAATTCGACGCCCTAAGCCCCACCCCCCCAACCCATAAATCAGAAGTGCTTCAGTGCTCCGGCAGGCCTTGTAGATGGGGTTCATTGCTTCGGTCGTTCTGGTTTTGTGCTCCATGCTAGGGCATCTCGGGTGTAGGGTTGTGTTGAGGGCTTCTAGGGCTTTTAGGGTGTTAAGGGCTAAGCCGAAGAGCGCGGGGTTGTTTGAAGGGTTTCTTCGGGTTCGGGCCAGGGCTTGCTTTGAGCTTTCAAGGACTTTTTCACTGTTTGCTGTTGTCCTTGTATGTCGGGTCATTGTGTAAACTGAGGTTGATTGCCTGTCTTACTCATGCAACCTTTATTTCTAATGCTTGTTCTGTTTATTAGAATATTGTCTTAATTTTCGGCATTGGTAACATGATACTTGTACTTGTTGTCAGTGGTAGTATATTGTCGCCCTGAAGGGATGATTGAGGGAACCCTTCAGGGAGACCTGAAGTGCATCGCAATTACTGGACTAGGTCTGTCAAGCATAGCAGGGAACCAGCGAATTGGCTCTCAAAAATCCAATGAGCCCTAACCCCAGACCCTGCTTTGAGATAGGGATCGTTAATGCCTTTGGAACGGTGACACGTGCCGTCCGTATAGCCAAAGTGCTTTCGCCTCGTACCAGGAACCTCGCCTAGGCATGTCCGAGAGTGAGTTCTGAAGCCTTAAACTTTAAGCCTTGCACCTTGCGTCTTGCAGTGAGGAACTCACGCGAAATTTCTATACATGGGGTCGGTCGAAGTTCGGATTCCTTCGGTTACTTGCCTCAGCCGAAGCTTACTGTCGCCGTCATAGTCCCTATAGTGTTGATATATTTCAACGCATCCTCAAAACCTGATCAAAATGTTGCCGCCCCTACATCCAACTAGCCTGGAAGGGCTTGGCCTTCGGCAGCATCCTCCAGACACACATGCCCTTCCTGACGCACGTGACACGCAGCCCGACCGCGAATAATCAAGCGACACTTTGTGGTTTAGGTTTCTGAAACCCTAAACCCTAAACCGTACAGTTGTAAGGGGGTTTCAGGGTTTGTGGCGTAAAGCAAACGGCCGGCGAAAGGAAGCACATAAAGGTAAGCATCCTCCAAGTGAGGTCCTGCAACCTGCAGACAAGCCCCTTTAGCGGATCTTCGAAGAAAAACGGAAGAGGATCGTAAACCCTCAGCTAAACTAAGCGTGAAGCCCGAAATCCAAGTTCTAAATCCTGAACCTTAAACCTTAACATGGGGCACCGACATGCCAAATAGGTCCCTTCGAATGTTCGAAGTTCAGATGCCCTTGAAGCCTAAACCTTAGTTGATCTAGGATCACCTCATATGCCGCATTCTTGGCATGCGTATGCAGGGTAGTAGCAGCCACGGGCCATTTCCGGAATGCTGGTTGTCCATGAAGAATGTAGCTGGAACGTCCGTCATCCTTATTAGTGAGCAAGGTCAGACATGATGTGCGATCGAAGAGAGTGGCAAAGGGCATTCCCGAGTCCGCACTTGCATCGTCGTAGGGACTCCAAGTTGTGTTGCGCAGTAGCTTCGGCAACTCATCGCCATGCTTCGTCGACCCATTTAGACGACATGGTAGCTCCTTCAAATCACGGAATAGACCAAGAGTATCGACGAATATGATTTCATGATTAGACACATGAGCAACCTACGAAGCTGATTTAGCTACTGCATACAAATGCACATGTATATGTATGTAGATTTATACACATACGCGTTTTCAACACACACGCCCACATGCACATCCAGTTTCCTGCGTCTGTTTTTTGGATCTGAAAGGTGAGTTGATTTTGCTGCATGGAAGTTTATGTATGGCTTGCCTGTAGAGGCTGGAACAACTGTGGATTTATGGACAGAGGGCTGGTAGCAAGGATTCTCGAGAGCTCAAGTGCCTTATTCAGGGTTTCGTCTTCTCATCTTAGAAAGGAACTCAAAGAGCATCTTCGGAAGCATTCATCAACTTGGGGGTGGGAGTCTGGATTCTTCTTGGCGCATTCTGCTATGGCAGGTCTGACAGGTATGGACTGGACGTTGCGGGCATTGTTGTGTCTGTAGTTTTGCACGTTGACCGTATGGCCGTGATCTTCGCCGAGAAACACCACCGTGCCTGCTGTTGATGGTGTTGCAAGTTCCAATCCCTAATGGCTACAATTATATACTCTTGTCAGAGCCGTCTTGCTTCTTGCCTTTTCTTTCGTATAGAGCTCTATTGTGTTTGGCACAAAACCAGAAGCCTTACGCCACAACTTTGTGAGTTCCCCGGCCCACTCCAACCACTTACAGACCTGCATTGCATGAAAGGCTGCCCCGTCGTCCCTGTTGTGCTGCTGTGCGCCGTTCGTGTAGATATGGCGGAGGACTGCTACACACTTCGGGTTGACCGAGAGCTTACCCTTGAGGTTAATCCTATGGTTCTCAGACCACGGACTACTTATGATGTCCAATCTTTTCGACCGAATGTTGCGCTGCATCTGAATCTGCTCAGCCTTGGCCAGACAAGGTAGGTACATCCACTCTGGCGATGCCACTAAAGCACGTCATGCCGCTGTTGTTTCTATTGAGGTTGGCATGTTTGGAACGTGCTAGGAGTCCCGCTGCATACGCAGTGGCCTACTGGGCCTATAAACCTCAGCCTGATATCCCATTTCTGGAACCCGAGGGCTATCTCGACAGTGCAGGACTGCCGTATGTTGATTTGCGACCAGCACTTCGGCAGATCTTGAGCTCAGAAGTTTCGAGGAATCTGTAGGGGTACTATAACGGGTATTCTAAGGGTACGGGGTTTGGGGTTTAGGATACTATCAAGGATACCATGAAAGGTTCTAGAGGGCACCTGCGTAAGGGTACTCTAAAGTATTGGATCTCCATATCTCTTAGGCATCGGAAGCAAGGACCGAAAGGGCTCAAGGATTGCGGGCGTATGTGTTTGGTAATGCGAGGTGGCTTCAACTGACCTTCGTGGACACGGAAGAGCTGCTCTGCTTGATCGAGGATGCTCTGCTGTTGAGGTTTTCCATCCAGAACCTGGGCGGCAGGAAGCTTGTTGTAGGAGATGTTTCAGCGCCAGAGCTGTCTTGTGGAGCAAGGAGCTTACTTTGGTAGGTTTTGGTCCTGGCACCAGTATCTCTATCGTTGCTTGCCGTTGTATTGGTTACCATGCGACCCAAAAAATGTCTGCAAACACCTATAAGCCCCAATATGAACCTACTAAGCCCTCAGAGTGCCGTTGAAGTGTTTGCGCACTGTTCCGAACTCGATCATGAGAAGTTCGTTTGAGAGTTCCGAAAAGTAGCACCCAAAGTATGTAGGGTGTTCCGCTTTTGGGAGTAGGAACCTTACTAGAACAAAAATGAGCCTTGACTGGCGGCAGCAACAACTTTCCCTTGGGTCTTGGCCTTTTGTCGTTTTCTGGGTTGAAGTTCCATCTAACATAGGGGATTACTACTAGTGCACACTGTATAGTATCGACCTGTGGCCTTTGTTTTGAATAACAGTGTATTGTACCCCAAAACCAGGCTCTAACCGGTCAGGCCACTAGATTAGACTCTCCAAGCCGGAATCGTCGACCTATAGCCTATATCTCCCGCAGACAGCTCTGAAATCTAAAACCCTACATCATATACAAGTCTGAAGCCCGAATCATGCCCCACGGCCCGGGTTGTGGTGGAAGGAGTCTTCTCCAGTGCCCTCGGTGCCAAAACATGCCTGCAAATAGGCATGCGGCGGGTCTAAGTGGCAAACGTGTAGATATCTAGACTAATCCCCAGGCCCAGCACCCTAAACCCTAGGCCCTAAACCCTAAACCCTAAGCCCTATAAACCTAAACCCTACACCCTAAACCCTTAACCCTAGTCCGGCATCATGACAAGCCTAAGCTATAAACAGAGGAGCGCCTTGGACAGGGAGGTCCTCGAGCTCTTCGAGGCTGGGTGTCCCTGTCTTTGAGTGTTCTCGGCCTAGCTTGCAGGATCCTAGACATAAATATGGTCAAAACAAGAAACACTGGTTTCGGACTTGGGCTGTTTCTACCGGGCGGTAAGAAGTGAAGCCCACCTACCACCTGTTTATGAAAAGAACAGGAAAACTTAACGAACCGCAGCGAAACAGCTTTTTTGGGGAAGTGACCTAAAGCCCAGGCCCAAACCCCACACCCCTGAGTCGAGCCCCTGAACCTCGAAAGTGTACAAAGTCTGGCAGCTCGCAAAGAAAGGAACTTAAAGGGAACTTCACAGAACCCTTGAAGGGAACCTTGGGGCAATATAGGGGCTTCAAATAATTACCTGTACTACTATAATTACACAAAGCAACTCTATTCTAATTTTTTTAAGGCACCTAATATAGAGCCGTATTGTAGATCTCTTATAGAACCCTTTAAAGGAGCCCTTTGAAGGAGCCTATACGAACTAAAAAAGGCCCCTAACCCCTAAACCCTTCTAGTAACCCTTTAAAGGAACCCCAACCCTATTCGAATTTAAAAAAAGGCACCTACACTCCATGGAGGCTTTGGGGTGGTCTTTTTCCGGATCTCCTGCGAGGTCGATTGCGACGACGACGTGCCTTGCGATGCCGGGGATGCACAGGCTTTGGGTTGGTTTAGGGGTTTAGGGGTTTAGGGCATGTAGGGATTTAGAGTATGTAGGGATTTAGGGTTTAGGGATTAGGGGTTTAGGGTGTAGAGATTTAAGTTTAGGGTTTAGGGATTTAGGGATTAGGGTTTTGTTTTTTTTGTTGGTGGTTCTTGCTCTGATGCCTTCAGCTGCAACCATTGAACAACCGTAGCAACGCAGGCTGCTGTACCTGTGCGGGGTTTCTCAGTGCACTCTGGGCACAAGGGCCAAAGTTCGAACATGGGGATCTGAACGATTCGTGCAGCGTGTTTTGGTGCATCAAGTCCTTGGTCTGTGATTTTGAAAGTCCTTAATTACTGGCACAACACAACTTCCAATCGCATATCCTAGAACTCTCAACGCAGAACTGCAGCTCGTACTCCTGCACCCCATCCAGCGCACACTGACTAGCAACCGATGAAGCATATCTTGACTTGAAAGGCGCGATCCTTTCAAGGACACCCTGCAATGCAGGCTTAGTCCCGGCACAGCGGCTAGCAAGCAACACCTGTACATAATACCCTCAGGCCCTCAACCTAACCATGCCACGCCCAAGAAAATCTAAAACCCCCAATTCCCAGAAGCCTGAATCCTCGTGTGCCAAACAACCCTAAACCCTCAACCCCTCCCCAAGTTCCCAAACCCAACACCCGCAGCCCTCAACCCCATTGAATGGCCTCAACAGCAGGCCGACCTAGAGTCGCAGACCCGGCGGGCGCCGCCCAGACTCAGGCGACATGTTTCGAAGCTTGTGCTCTCCCATGTACTTGTAAGGGTTTGGGATAAATGGTATCTTCCTAGGCCGAAGCAGGGTTCGCATGTAATATTCGTACAAGGTAAATCATCAGGTTGGAATGGTAAGTCCAGAAAGTGGTGGTTGGGTGCGACAACGACGACTACTAAAACTAGTGCTGCTGCCACTCCTGCTCCTACTTTCTCCTACTGCTACTCCTACCTGGCTACGACCCGGCGACCGACCCACTCCCTACTTACTACCTCTACCTACTCGCAACTGGCTACTGGCTGCCTCTTACCGGCCCTCCCACCTACCACCGCCACCACCACCTGGACGGCGACGACTACTACTACCATCGCTATGACCACCATAATTGTTGGTCCCGGTGTGTGAGGCTTCAGGGTTTTACCTTCAAAGTCTGTGTGTCGTAGGTAGGCTAGCAGGATGTTGCGGCTGTTTGGGAGATATTGAGCTCTTGAGGGCAAGCACGGTGTTGGCCTAAGGGGTTTGGGTGTAAGGTTTACTTAGTTTTTTTCCTGGGGGGGATTTCGACCGCCCTCTAGATTTAATTAAGAACGAGAAACCCGAAACGAGTTCGAGAGAGGTCCTGTGCAAATCGTCAAAGCCCTGCAGGCGTGCAGTGCAAGGACTACCGGGCAAGCAACTCAAAGGTACCTCGGCCCTGTTTGGTTGGGTTGACTTATGGGATGGCTTTAAATCTCAAGCCCTACCTAGCAACCGTGGTTGTACCTGATACCTGAAAGCACAACTGACAGCGCTGCGCTAGGTGAACCGACCAAGTGCGAACCCGTTAGCGATGATCCAGTATTGTCTGCAGACCTCGCCTAATATAGGGGCCTTGATAGTCAGAATAGGGTTTTGGGGCCCATTATACTACAGTTATAGTAAGGAATCCCCAAAACAGGTAATTATTTTAGGCCCCTCTACTACGTCCGAGAGTGAGCGCCACGAAGCCCTGATCTTGGAACAAGAGGAGGCTGGGCCTCGTAGGAACCGCCAGGACATCCTAACAACTAGAAGGAGCTACCGTACGGGCTGAAAATAGGGTTGAGGGTTTAGGGGATACCATCAACGCTTAGTATAAGGCTTCTATCAGGAGTACTACAAAGGGCCGAAGGGGCCTCTCAGGCCGTGTGGTCATGATGACGAGCTGCATACAGACTTCCAACATCGGGGCTCTTGTTTATCAACGGTTTTGGGGTTCCCTTGGAATCCCAGCTGCCACCATCCATGGAGGCTATGACCTAACTCGCCGTGCTCTGACCTTCTGGCATCGGAAAGCGGAATTCAGCTGGCAGACCCTCATGCCAAATGACCCCTGGGTTTGCAAGTTAGGATAGGGAATTCGGTTTCCTTTTGAAAGGGTTTAGGTCTAAGGCTAAGGTTAAGGATTTATGATGGTGTTCAGGGCTTAGTAGTAGGGTTTAGGATGTAGGCTTCGTGATTGGAGTTGTCCGAACTCTCTAGACCCAAATCCCTCAGCCCTACAACTCCGGATGAAGCCCAAGTGAGAACATATGAGTTTCGGAAGCCTAGGAGGCGGATCCTACGAAAATTGCAATCGGAAGCCCCTTTTGTGGCGTAAGCCATTTCTTCTTGATTGAAAATGCACTTTGCCTTATTCGAATAAATAGGTCCACCTAGCCCTAAAGAGTGTCATCCCTTTTTCTGAAAGCCGCTTGGTCATGGAATGTGGTTTCTGGGGCGCAGAAGCCTTGCGGATCCTGAAAGTATAGGAGTCCCTCGAGTCTTTGAGCCTCCAGAAAAGACCATTAGCCCCAAACCCCAACACTGGCCTAGACAGGTTCCGAATTACAATTAGGCCATGACTAGGTTGGCTTTTTGGGACATTTGTTATTTTCCTTATTTGGGTTTATAAGGGGCCCTATATTTATAATTACAATTAAAAGCCATTACTATGATAAGCCCCAAAACCCTCTTCTACTTGCAAAGGCCCCTATGTTCGCCCCAGTCTTGTTCTTCTTTACAGCGGCCTCGTGTGACAGAGTGGACGTCAGAGTGGATCTAGGCCTGGCATCCCTCGAAACCACAGGGACAGACGGGAGCTTCAGGAAATGGCTCCCGCACCAGCAGAAATCTGATTTTTCTCTTCCATATCACTTGGCTGATCATGACAATGATGATGACCACGATGACGACGGTTCTAGCTCTTACTGTATGTTTAGACGGTTCGTTTTTTTACCTTGGACTCTGAATGTTTAATTATTCCCTAAAGCCTAAACCTTAAACCCTACAGCCGACACCCGAAAGCCTAAACCCTAAAGCCTAAACCCTAAAGCCTAAACCCTAAACCCTAAAGTCGAAACCCGCAAGCCTAAAGCCTAAACCCTAAAGCAACCCTAAAGCCTAAGCCCTAAAGTCTAAACCCTAAACCCCAAACCCTAGACCCCGAGATCCAAGGAGTATGCGGCCTTCAGAGGTTCCAACACCGCGGACGCGCCGCTGGCAGCGGGCGCTGGAAGTTGGCTTCACTTTGGGAGTTGCTCGGATTTTCTGGGGGTTTAGGGTTTAGAGTTTAAGGGAGTTGCTCGGATTTTCTGAGGTGTTGAACAAGCATTCGAGTACGATCTTAACCTTGGATGGTCTGTCTTACATATTACTTCTAGGTGTGGTTAGGGTAAGTTTTGGCTTTGGGGCTTGTTTTTGTTTGGGTCTTCGGGGCTAAGGCTTGTTTGAGGCTTCTGTGGTTTGAGGTTCAGAATTCAGAAATGTAGGTTAGATTCCGGTGGTTTTCGCTGAAGGTTTTTTGTTCGGGTTTCTGGCCAGGTTTTATGTACTCGGTGCTCTTCTTTTTGGGGGTTTCGGAGGTTCAAGGTTTAGAGACAAAGCACGAGAATATAAGCAACAACAACGGGTTTGGTGGTCGTTTCCTTTATGGAACAGATGCGACGAGCTATGGACGGCCCTCACGCTGGCAGGGTTTCAGGGTTTGGGGCCACGTTAGGGTTCAGGGTGTTGCGGTAGATCCAAGAACTTATTGGTTCACTAGCTGAAATTGTATTATGGCGGGCTCAGAGGATTTATGATACATTCTTTTCGACACGCGGTCTTAGGATTTTTGCTTCGGGAATTGGAGCTGAGGTTTTGCTTTCCTGGTGTAGGTTGTTTGTGAGTGTGTGTCTTCCGGTGTTGGGCTTTATGTCCTGAACAGAGAACCAAAGTACATACAAGAGTTGTCATGCATTTGTAATTTGTATGTCAGGTTTCTTAATTTGGTTTGGACAGGTGTGGATTTGAGAGTGGTATGCACACCCGCGCCGCGCCGACTGCTTCCATGCCCAGTGACATGGAACAGGAGCCCCGAGTCGCAACACCGAATCCTAAGCCGCACACTACAACCACCCGAAGTAACCCTAAACATCCCAAATCCTTAAACCCTCCACCCCAAACCTCAGAACTACTCAGAACCCCTGAAGCCTGTGGGAGTTGAAGCACGAGCTTCAGATCTCATTGCCGAGGCATCTCAGAGGAGAGCGTGAAACCTGAAAGTGCCCTGGCTTGGCTTTGTAAATCCAGCGGTGTGCAGGGGGCAAAATGTTGAATTGGAGCCAGGGCAGGGTGAATCACAGGGGGGGGGGGGGGGGGGGGGNNGGCACCGGGGGGGGGCGCTAGCCATGCTCTAACTAATTGAATAATGAAACACAAATTAAGCAGTGTTTACACAAAAAAATCATAATTTCTCTGTGGTGAGTTACGTGGGAATAGACAGCCGAAAGAGGGTTCGAGGGGCTACGGGCCATACTAGCACTATTTCAAGATCATGCTTCGAGACTTTGCACTGTTTTGAAATCATGGGGCCTGTGGTCAGTGAGAGGGTGTTCACCCGTAGCAGGTTTTTGCGGCTTGCCCTGTTGCGATGCAGGCTCCTTGGTGTCGGACCACTTGACTGTGGCCTACAACTGTGCCTGGGCTGCAGATCGCGTCGGGTCTTCAGAGTTTCTTTGATGTTCTCCGAGCCCACTGCGAGTTTAGGAGTCTAGGGTCTAGGCTACACGCCAAATCAGCTTCGATTCCGAGTCCCCACGGATCTGCCGCAGGACGCTACTGTAGGGGCTTACAGAATTACCTATACTATTTTGGGTGGTCCTTATGAAGATTATAGTATAATGGGCCCCAAAACCCTACTTTAGTTATGAAGGCCCCTACATTATCTGACGGCAGATCTCAGGTCCCACCTGCCACCGAAGCTTCCGCCTCAACCGCCACGGCATCGCTGAGCACCGCCGAGAATGCCAGGGGTCAGCGGAGGTGGGCCTCTTAGTTCCCCAATACCCAACCTTAAATAAACTCCTTGGGTTCTTATAATTTAGTAGTAATCTGAAAGTTTCGCCTTTTATTTCCCTGGCTTATTGGGGAAGTAAGTTGGGGGAGCCCGACTGTACGTCCTTCGCTTCGCTTGATGGTACCATCACAGGGCATGTGTCCACTATATTGTTCCTTCTGCTCCAGCCACTTGCGTGATCAGAAATTTCTGAAACGCGGAGCCCAGGATGCAAAACAAACTTTGAACAGGGTTTAGGGTTTAGGGTTTACGATTTAGGGTTTGGGGAACTACAACAGCACCGTTCCATCGTGGACCCAGGAAAACAGCAGTTCCCCGTCCTTAACCCAAATCTCTAAATTATGACAGAAGCCAGAAGCCTAAACTCTAGCTGCATGGTCCGAATATACCCTGAACGCTCAATTTCAGGTTGGGCATCATCTTATGTTGGCTTTCAGCTTGCCGGGTGCAGGACTTTAATGGTGGGCTGTCATAGTTCTTATTGCAAGCCGGTAGCAGCTCTTAACTTCTTGGAGGGGGTTCAGCGGTCTTATGTCGAGCTTCCAAAACGCCAAACCCTGATTCCCCAAAGCCTGCCAGAAGAGAAGCTCATGCAACCCTCAAAACTCCGAACCTCTATTGGGTCCTGGACCCTGTAGCCACTGAACCTTAACACCCTAAGGTTCCATGTACCCTGATAGTATATCTATATATATATATATATATACTCTGGCCTCAAAGTACTTATGTAGGGACTACTGTAAGGCCAAAATTATAGACTGCTTGGGCACATGGACCCTCGACCCTAAACCCCTAAGCCCTCCTTGAACCCTGTTTTAGGTAGTATAGACTATTCGGGTACATGGACCCTAAACCCTAAACCCCTAAGCCCTCCTTGAGCCCTTTTAGGTTCAGGGATACCCGGAACCCTAAGGCTCCATGTACCCATATAGTAGATACTTAGGCCTTAAAGTACCTATATAGGGACCCCCTTTAAGGCTTAAGTATCTACTATATGGGTGGTTGTCAAAATTAGGGTCCCTTTTGGGTACCCTAAATAATAGGTGCCGTATTATAATAAGAACCCAAAAGGGACCATAATTTTGACAACCACCCCTTTGGGTACATGGAGCCTTTGGGAAACCAGCCCCGGAAGGCTCCATCGGAGCGCGGATGGCTCTGCGAGACCTGTGGGGAGAGGCTTCCGGCGAGTGCCTCGGTGCCTTGGCAAAGAGCCTTAGGGGTTTAGGGTTTATGAGGGTTTAGGGGTTTTGAGGGTGTATGAGGGTTTAGGGGTTTCGGGTTTATGAGGGTTTAGGGGTTTTTAGGGTTTATGAGGGTTTAGGCGTTTTGGGTTTATGAGGGTTTAGGCGTTTAGGGTTTATGAGGGTTTAGTTAGGGGTCTTCCTTGTAAAGACGCCGAAATGTAATGGGAATGAGAGCTATAGGGTTTAGGTTTTAGGCTTCAGGGTTGAATTTTAAGAGCCAGCCAGAAGACCTCAACCCGGATATTGGAGTATTTTTTCATATATACGCATCCCATCCTCGAAGATCACTGTCGCGAAGAATGGGGCTCGGGTTCTCGCGACTTCTTGTGCCAGGCTTTGGATATTCTTCGCCATCGAAGAAGTCATGGACTGTAACGCATGCGGAGAAAAAGCTGCAGTTTTGGCACGTCAGACATCAGTTCTCTCGATGGTTAGGGTTTAGAGTGACTAGGGTTTATGGGCTGCCTCCTGCTGGGACATCCCCATGCTTGAACCCTTGAAGGGCTGTGGGTATTGCACTTAAAACTATGGCCCAAGGGCTTTAATGAACCTCGATGCTTCACATATTGCACACAATAGCCGACATCCAGTTGCTTCCGAAGCAGCTGGCAGCATCGAGCTCTTAAGCCCCACAGTTTTTCTGACCACAAAGCCACGCCATTCCGGCCACATAGGCCAGGGCAGGGTCCTGTGATGTGCCAACACCAAGCCGCGAAAGTGTGCACGAGCAATTTCAGAGTAGGGGTCCCTTATTGTGGCCGCCCTTGTACCGTATTTAAGGATCCGCTGTAGGATCTGTACATGGGGAAGTTCTCTAAATTTGGGTCCCCCCAAATAGTACTACAGCTTCCTTACAAGAAGGACCCTACAAAACAGACCTTGATTTAGAAAGCTACCCAAATGTTGAAACCCCTAAAGAAGCTTTTCACTCTAGCTGACTATACATAGATCCCTTCGTGCAAGACATCCCTGTTTAGTCTTTTAACCCCTTAACAGACCCCTTCAAAGGAAGCATTGCGGGTAGCCGTTTTGGCTCCAGTTGTCTCCAGCTGGCTACGTTGAAGACATGCCCACGAAGAGTGCCGCGTGCTGGATCGCAGCGGCTGGGCTGACGGCAGTCTCGGGCCACTGGGGATGGAAGCAAACGGATTTTACACCAGCACCGGACATGCAGCTTGATCCTCCGCAGACGTTATCCGAGTCTTGGCGGAAAGCGAAGCACGCTTCAAGCCATGCGGGTCATACCGTGACGTGCATCTCAGGCTTGCTGCTTGCGCCTCCGTTGTTTTTTTTCCGCTATTGTAGGGGCCTTATTAATTTGAATAGGGCATGGAACCCTACAGTGCTCTACAGTAGTATTGATATTGTGCGATGCCTGTTCAGGCATTTTAAGCACGGGCCAGACAAAAGAGGCAGGACAGGCTGTACTATAGATTAATAAATAAACAAATAAGTATATATAAATATATATATATATCTATATGTATATATATATATATAATATTCATTGTATCATATGTTTGAACGAATTTAAACCTGACAACTATGACCCTCGGCGATCATCACCGCCAGGGCCCGGAGTCCTTTCGTGGAAGGGCACAGGCTTCGATCTTTTGTCAAGAGTTTCATGGGATTTTCGCTTGAAATTAGAGCCTCCCTTCACATTCAACCCTCTGCTACAAACCCGAAGACACAGCAGAAAACATGATAAATGATTTGAAATGCAGAAAAATATCAGTATTCCAGTATTTTTCTATCCTGCTACAGGTATGATTGAAATTATTGAGTTCGCGGTACCCCGAGACCCTAAACCCCAAGTTCAAGGAAGCACGATTCCAGTGCAGCTTCGCCCCGCAACACTCAGAGCGCGCGTGCTTCGGCCCTGCGCACGGGGGTTGCCCCAATGGCACTAAGTCTCTGGAACGGAATTGGTATGTGTTCTGTGTGTTGCATCAGGTGTTGAAAGTCGACCTATCGTGCTAGTAGGCGTAGAAGTATACTGACTTCTAGTGATGATTGAACTAACGGGTCTTAGGTTTGGGTTTTGGAATCTTGGGCTGGGTGTAAGGTTTGCAGGGGGTGCACCTCCAGGTGTTGAGGCTGAGCAGGTTCCAGTTAAGTGGCTGGTTGTTGGTTATACCTGAACTATTCTAAACTTCCCCTAACCCCCCAGGTACCTACTATATGGGGTACTAGAGCCCCTAGGGCCCCATATGGTAGGTACCTGGGGGTTAGGGTTCTGTTTCGAGGAACAAAGAGCAGCAAAGGTGCTTCATCAAAGACAACCCTCGCACTGCGGAGATCTACGCTGCATGTTGTTGCAATAGGACCACCACTCCAATCGACATGGTATACCGGGAGCACTGGTCATGCTTCGCGACTGAATCCGGGACGACTCTGAGCACGCGTTTTTTGTTCTAACTTTTTTGGCGGCAGTAGACGAGCTGACGAAGAAAGAGAAGAAGAAAGATGAACCCCATAGAGCCCCCAAGCCGCTGTGTCTTCCCAACAGCTCTAAAGTCTAAAGCAACCCTGGACCCAACCCAACGCACCCTCCATTATCGGCGACGTGCCCGCTGTTCAGGGCCAGACTGGCTCTAGTAAAAGGTTAATCTGAGAGGCCTGTCATAGGCCCAGATCCCAAAATCCAAAAGGTTCTGGCTCAGAAATCATAAACACAAGGCCCTAGTTTTTCCGAACACCCTAGGCCGAAACACACAAAATTCCTGTGAGAACCCTACCGAACGTAGCATTGCAAAACATTCCAGAGATAATAATAAAGAACATCGAAGGATTTGAACACTTAGTAATAGTATCCCCTTGGCGCCCCTGTTACAGCGATCGTATATCATAGCACAGTAACTTATGTTAATCAGAGTCCCTTTTATGAGACCTACTAGTGGAGAACCAAGGAGTTGACTTCAGAGCAATCGCACGGTTTCTTGCCGCATTGTGACATCCTTTGCTGCGAGAGGCTCGGTTTTGGGGCTCAGGGTTGAAAGGTTCGATTCATGTGGAAGGTAGAGGGATGTGGAGTTTCGATATGGGGGGGGGGGGGGGGGGGGTGGCTCGTGGAACTGAAGCCTGTGGAGCTGCAGCATTGAGGGTAGAGGGATTTAGGGTGTCAAAACGGAGGCTATAGCATAGCGCCGCTTTTGGGAGTTGTAGCAAGGAGGTTATTGGGGCAAGGGTTCATGGTTTGCCCTGAGGGGCTGCCTTGAGTTGTGAAGCTCGGGTTCAAACTCGAGCATCATCGAGCTTTCAGAAAGCATGGGGCTCTTTGATGTAGAGCCCGAAATAGTGGTAGCTTTCTTCTAGGGAACCCTCATCTTCTGAACACCACCCAAATCAGGAATTGTAAGTTCAATCCAAGGCCTCCCGCACTAACCCCAAAAGCCCTCAAGCCCAAAGCCCGAGATCTCCAGTCCCGGGACGACCCAGAGTCGAAGAGGTAGAAGAGTAGTTCAAATTGCACCTTGTCTGGGTGAAGCCGGTAATCGCCCTTTACAAGGTAGACCAGTTTAGGGTTTATAGGGTTTAGGGTAGACTCGGGTTGGCCCAGGCAACTCAACCAAGAGCAACAGCAGCGAGGTCCCAAACTCTTGATCCTTGCAACCCTCCAATCCCAGCGCAATCCCCGTGAAAGCAACGGCCCGCAACCCTCAAAGCTGTCAGTGAAGCCGTAAACTTCAAGGTCCAACATGCTGAGCCAAAAGCGCAACCCCCACGGCTAAAACCTTAAGACCACAGGACACCCCAACAAATTGACATATCCCGGCAGAAAAACCGTACCAAGAAAAGCATCTGAAGCCCTTACGACAACCAGAATGAGACGCGAACCAACCGCGACCCGGGCAAGCCCGAAACCCAAAACCCCACACCCTGCACCCCACTAAACCCGAATCCCTACAGAAACCCTAAACCCTACATCGACCCTACACCCTAAAGCGGACATAAACCCTACAAGCCCTACATAAGCCTTAAACCCTAGGCCCTCAAACCCTGGATGTTGTTAGCCTTTGTAGTGTTGTGGTCAGGGGTTCGTGTACCGGTGTCACCGCGACTCAATCGTCTGGCCTGCCCGAGTTGCGAGAGCGTAGATCTTACATAAACCTCAAACTCTACATAAGCCTTAAGCCCTACATGAGCCCGTAAACCCCACATAAGTCCTCAATCTTACATACCCTACCAAAAACCCGAAACCCTACAACATGACTCCGTGAGCCGTGATATATCCTACATCAGCCCCAAACCCTACATAAACCCTATACCCTACATAATCCTAAACTCTACGATAATACACCTTAAACCCTACAGAACCGCTTTAACCCTAAACCCTACATAATTCTAAACCATAGGACAATACATCTCAAACCCTGCATACAGTACCGCTTTAATCCTAAACCCTACACGCCCTACAGCAATCCCCGAACCCCACAACAATAAATCTTCAACCCCACATAAGCCCTTAAACCCCGCATCAACCCTTAAACCCCACACCAACCCAAAGCCCTATTTCAACCCGAAACCCCACAGAAACACTAAACCTGACATAAGCCCCCCAAGTCTACATAAAGCTTGAACTCTACATCAACCCTAGATCCTGAACCCTGAACCCTACATAAAGGAAGCCCCTAAAGCCCTAAACTGCGACCAGGCCGAAGGTAGCTCGAGCCTGCCACGGGAATGCGCCAATCTGCTGCGACGAAGAGGCGCCGATGCGTCTCCATGTCGGGTTTACTCGGAGGGTCGGGAGACTTATCAAGTAGGTAATAAGTAGACTTGTAAGTACCCTGCAAGGGACCCTAATTGGGGTTATAGTACTTATCAGCCTATAAAATAACCATTTACTATGTCCCCCGACCCTCCAAGTAGCTATTAGGGTCCACGGCACAGGCGTAAATGGGTCCGTTCCTAGGTACATGGATCGTTTCGGCAGGGGGCTCTTGAGGAGTACAGGTGGTGATGGCTACACTTGACGCACAATCCCTTTGAAGCCTAAGCAGCAGGCTTCGTGACTTCCCAGATGCTGTTGCCATCCTGGGTTGATGTCTCACAACCTGAACCCTCCGCCCAAAGCTTGCACCAGAAACTGTAAGAAGAAACGCAGACACTGGCAAATTAAACTCCTCCCAGCAGTCCCCGAACTCTTGGTCTTGAAGCGAATATTGGACCCTTTTTCTCCCTGTAGTACATACGATCTACAGAAAAGTGTTCGTCAATCCTACAAAACCAAAAAAGGGTAGATCCACATAGAAAACTTTGAGCCGTCGTCCTATGCCAGCCTACTTGGGAGGTGACTGACTGCGGCATCAGCTTGGAGGGCAACGCATGTTGTGCTCCGAAAGATCCATCTGCACGGAGCTTAGAGGCTTTCGGGGTTCAGGGAGAGGCGATTGCACAAGTCCTGATGCAGCAAATCGTTTCCTGCACAAGGGTTTAGAGTAGCAGTGTTGTGGAAGTCAGTGTTCAGGCGATTGCACAAGTCCTGATGCAAAAACTGTAGCAGCAGCATGGCGTGATGTCACTCGTTGGTGAAATAATGTTCCGCTGAAGATCGATGAAGTGTAAGTCTCACGTAACTTCCTGTGTCAGCCTAGATGCCCTGCCCCCTGTACTCCTGAGGTCCGAACCCACTGCTGCGCAATCAGGGGGGCTACTTGCTGGTATCATCGCTCCTGGCTGAAAGCGGCTCAACAGCATTGGATCTCTACACCCCGAAACGCTAAACCCTAAACCCTAAACCGACGACAACGAGGTTGCCTTCCTAATGCTTGGAGCAGGTGTGACTGTCATGAACCCAGGCCCGCTTCCATCGCGTATGCAGTTTCAGCCCAAGACTTCACCAAGCCCCAAAACAGCGCTGCTTTATTGGCTGGCGTTAAGGAACTTAAATTAACTTACGATAATAAGGAAACCCCAATAGGAGCTATGTCCCCACTATGGTAACTTAAACTAAGTTCCTGAACAACAACCCAGTTTAATGCCTCGTTCTTGTGCCTACGTCCCAGGATCCCTGGGCCATGACGGGACAGCCCTGCTGCTACCTCCAAGACGGCACGATGTGCTTTGCAGAGGCCAGCAATATAAGGGCCTGAAGAATTAACTCCACTCTCCATAATATATATATATATACATTTTAGTTTTTTTTTTTTTTTGTTGAGGGGGGTGGTCCTCTCTATAACTATAGTAAAATAACTCCGAAACCCTATTCTAATGTCTAAGACCCCTAATATAGAACCCAATTATAGATCCCTTATAGAACCCTTTAAGGATCCCATTAAGGCCCCTAGATTGCACACCGACAGCCGTAAAAGCCTCAAGTCGAAACACTTCGTACCCTAGGAAAGACACCGGAGACCCGAGTGGGACCCAAGTCCTTCAATGCAGGAACAACCTTTCTGGCAGTACTGTTACGATTGTGATTGTGCTGGTGATTATTACTATTGGTCCTGTTTTAAACTTGTTATTGTCATTGTCGATGTTTTATGTATGAAATAGTTTTAGTCTTATTCTCGGTTAACTGCAGGAAACGGCAAGAGTTGGGAAAATTGCCTTGCTCAGGCACACTGTACTAGTGGGCTGCCTCCAGCAGCTGCATGGCGACCAGGCTCAAAGATCCTGCAGTACTTAAACCCTCAACCCTAAACCTTGGTTTTCTCTTAGCAGGGTCTTACGTCTTACTATTGCTCGCAGTGTTTCTCTCAGCTTCCTTTAGTATGTTTCACCTTGCCGATACAAGACCCTAAGCCTCGCATTGTCCAAGTTCCAGAGCCGAAACCTTGGTTTTCTTTGTGGCAAGAATCTACGAGCCCTTATTTGAAAACATGTTTATGGTTCTCGTGCGAATCGTGTTACCTTGTTATGGGTACCGCCTGCTTTTGCCCATCAGTCTCTTGAGACCTAGGCCTTTCTCGCAAGCGCTTGGGGCACAGACACAAAGCATACTTGGTGTGGCAAGCATGCAAAAAAATCCTAAGTACCAACTAGAAAGTAGGGTTTCTATAGCAGGAGTTGCTATCATGGTTTGGGCAAGTATCCCCGCATTATGTACATAATTGTACTTAGGACCATTTGGGAAATTCAGGCAAGAAACCGAATCTTTCAATTTCGGTGGCGCCTGCTGGGGTGAGCATGTGGGCTTAGAGGTAGTTCGAAATAACTCTTATATTTCTTTGTTACTATAATCCCTGAGAGACAGCAGAAATCATAATTCATGTTAGGGTCCCGAGTTCAGTATACCTGGGGTGCAGCATAGAGCGCTAGCAAGGGAGTCTTCAAGCCTAGCACCTAACCCTAAACCCTAAACCAAACTCATCTGCGGTTGTTCTTGCGCGGCAGGA